CCTCGCACCCACTGGCCGCTGCCCTGGATGCTTGTGGCTCTTTGAGCCTGGGCCTGGGGCTGGGGCTGGGATGAGGCTGGGGGATTACCCCCAAAGCACGAGTCAGCAGCTTCTGCCCCATTGTCCCTCCAGGCGCCAGCACCAGGCCCCCAGTCACACCCCAGGCCCTCATGCCAGCATGGGTGGCCCCTCTGTGGACCTGTCCCCCACCCCACACATAGGAGTTGGGGACTGCTCTTGAGGACATGGGGTGCAGAAACAGGGTGGCTAGAGCCCAGAATACTGGGGGCCTCCCTTTTCTCTCTGAAATGCCCCCTGCCCACTCTCAGCCACCAGGGGAGGCAGGAATGTGCTGAGCTCTGGGAAATGCCTTCCTGGCCTGGCAGCCACCAAGGGTAGGGGTGTGGCCGGAACCCGGCCAGCACCCTCCTCCTGAGCTGGGCGGGGTGGAAGGGACCTGTGGTCAGGGCTGCCATTGGGCCTGTGACCCTTATTTTACTGCAGTCTCTTCCTCTCTTTCATTGACCTCAAAGATTCATTTGTTCGTTTCCTCATTCAACAAACATTCGCAAGCCCTTGTCCAGCAGCAGGTCCTTTGGGGCCACCAACAGACCCACATCTACTCTGGGAGGCCAGACTCAGGAAAGGATTCCTGTAGGAGCTGACCTTGAAAGTCAAACTGGAGGTTGAGGCTGAGGGAGAGGGCAGAGGAGAGGGTTCCAGGCAGGGGGACCCACAGGGAACAAACCCAGAATGGCGAGGGTCATGATGGGAAGTCCCAGGCGGAGTGGTCAGGGAGGGCTTCCTGGAGGAAGTAGCCTTTGGGCTGAACCCGTAGGATACATAGGAGTTAATGCAGAGCAATGGGTGGTGAGCGAATGAGAAATAAGAGGGAGTGACCTGTGCATTGGCCCTTTGAGAATGTGGTTAATTGAGAGTGGGGGGAGGCTGAGTAGAGGTCTCAGGCTCAGCCAGGCAATGAGGAAGGAGTGAGACTTTGTACTGAGGGCCCTGGGCAGCTATGGAAGGGACAATGTACAACCGAGTTTGTTGTTGTTTTGTAGTATGGGGATTGAACTACCAGGGGCATTTGGGCATGGTGGTGCACGCTTGTACTCCCAGTGGCTCCAGAGGCTGAGGCAGAAGGATCACAAGTTTGAGGCCAGCCTCAGCAACTTAGTGAGGTCCTAGGCAACTCAGCAAGATCCTGTCTCAAAATAAAAAATAAAATGGGCTGTGGCTGTGGCTCTATGGTTAAGTGCCCCTGGGTTCAATCTCTGGTACAAAAAAAACCAAAAACCAAAGTCTTGAACCTCCAGGGGCACTTCACCACGGAGCTATATCCCCAGCCCTGTTTTTTTATTTTGAAACAAGATCTTGCTAAGTTGCTTCAAACTTGTATCCTCCTGCTTCAGACTCCCAAATTGCTGAGGTTACAGGCCTGTGCTACCAATGTCTGGCTCAAAGGTGATCTTTTAAGTGCTTGATGGTAGACATAGTCTGAGCTACAGGTCGGGTTAGAAGGAGGTTGAAAATCTGCCTCTCTCCACTCGCGGTCAAACAGAACATAGAGTTTGGGACACACTGTCCTCTGTGTCTCTCACAGCAGAGAACCTTGCCATTCCCAATCTTAGGGAAAGAGCTTCCGTCTTTAGCCATTAAATATGAAGCTGAAGGGCTGGGGTGCAGCTGAGTGACTGAGCATTTGACCAGCATATGCAAGGCCCTCGGTTCCATCCCAGGACAGAAAAGAGTAGGAGAAACCCAGCAGCAGCAGCAGCAGCAGGGTGACCCACGGATATGTCCCAGCACTCAAGAGGTTGAGGCAAGAGGATTACTGGGTCCCAGGAGATTGAGACCAGCCCAGGCCACATGGTGAGACCACATCTTAAAAAATAATAAAATAAAAATGGATGCTAGTTGTACTTTTTTTTTTTTTGGTAAATGTCCTTACTCAGATTAAGGAAACCTCCTTTCCTGGTTTGCTGTGGGTTTTTATCATGAATGGTGTGGTGTGTCTCTGTCCAGGTCTTGGTTCCTCCCTTTCTCTCTGTCCTTATTCTTTGTCTCATATTCTCTCTCTCTCTCTCTCTCTCTCTCTCTCTCTCTCTCTCCCCCCCCCCCCCCCCCCCCCCCCCCCCCCCGTCTCCCTCTCCCTCCTCTCCCTCCCTCCTGCTTTCCCTCACCCAAGAGGGTGTGGCCATGGGAAGTTTGAGTTTAGGGGGTGGCACCAATGTCCTGGTTCCGGTCAAGGCCACCTCAGTAAACACAGGACATCCTGTGGGGCCAGGGAAGGAGGTAGAAGCTCCTCATGGATCACCCTCTCAGAGCCAGCCTGAGCAGAGGAGAGCTGCTGCCCTGCCCCGCCACACTGCTGGGCCCCACCCAGTCCAGCTGGGGGGCACTGATGTCTCCCTTGCCCCCACCCTTCCTGTCCACTTTTGCTCCTTGACCCTCTCCACTAAGCTTCAGTCCCAGGAGCCCAGCAGCTTCCACGCCTTCCCCTAGGGTCCCCCCAAGCCCAGTGCATCCACCATGGCCCTTCCTGACCTCCAGCATCAACCCCAGACCCTGGTCAGAGTCCCAGAGGACTATGTCCTGGCCCCCTGGCTAAAGCTCGGAGCCTCTTCCTAGACCCCTCTTCCAGCCAAACCCAGAAACTTAGAGAATCCTGAAAATGTTGTAGGGCCCCTTACCCTTTAGCCCTTGCATATGCTGTTTCCCTTTTCCCAAGAACAGCCTCCCTTTAGGGTGGACACTATTATTGTCGCAGTTTATAGATGAGGACTTGGAGGCCCAGAGAAGTTAAGAGGCAGATTGGCAAAGCTGGGTTAAACCCAGGAGGTCTGGCTTTCAAGCACAGCCTCTTCTCTTTCTCTCATTGATTCAATAGCATCTGTGAGCATCATTTCTGTAGCATGTTTTTCACTGTGCCTGTTTAGCCAGCGACGCACCCTTTCTCCAGTGCCTCTGGGTAAAGTTGCACAGGTTGTGCACTGCACGTTGGTTCCATATTTAAGAGGTGTGTTTCAGGTGCTATGGGTTCACATACTTATTATGACAATTTTCTGGCAGGTGGAGGCCAAGTGCCTTGAGGAAGGGGTGTGTCTTTTGCACAAAAGCACCTCATGGGCTAGATCAGCCCTGATTCCATCCCTTTGGCATCTTGGGTTTATGATGGGCCTGTAGGGCTTGAGGACCTGCTTCTCCTTCCCCAGGTCTGACCCCCTGGATGGCTGCATAGACTCTGGTGTGCCACTCCACCCTCAAGCTCGACCCTAGGAGGCCACACCACCTCAGCCAGCAGATTCCAGGGCCCACACCATTCTGAACTGAGATGCCAGTCCTGGCGCTGCCACTGCTTTTCACAGGGCCTTTGTGTATTCTGGCCATGACACCCCCCAGGCCAGCTCCCTTCTGCAAATACTTCCTTGACACCTAGGAGAGTGCGGTCCACTGTCCTTGGCCACCTTTTCCTCACTCCTTCCCTCCTCTTTCACCTTCCCTTATTCAGCAAAGATTCCTGAGTACCTACTCTGTGCCTGGACCATGCCTCTTTCATAGATGGGCTGGCTAGCGGCATCTATGGGTTTCACAGACTACCCCCAGTTTGGCCCCCAGAGATTTCAAGAAACAAGCCCCAGTATGCTGTAAACAGAGGTCTGGGGTTGGCTGACACCCCCATTCCGCACAGGACACAGAACTCCAAACTGGACACCAGGGGGCGCTGCTGAGCTCAGCCTAGGCCCCCAAGATTTCCATCTGGGACAAAAGCCGGAGTCCAGTTGCCCAGGCGTTGGGGGTCACCAGGGATTGGAGTCAGGACCCCGAAACACGCTCCATCTAGGCACCAGCTCCCTAAGGTCATCTCCACCCGCCGGTCCAGCCCGCCTCCTCCACTTCCAGAAATGGGCACCGCTTCCTCTGCTCCTCCAGGAAGTCGCGCTCTGCCCGCCCCTTCCCGGCCCCGGGGGCCGCCGCAGCTCGCCGCCTCCCCCGGCTCATCCCGCCGCCGCTCCCCGAAGCTTCCGGCCCGCGGGGAGGCACCGGGGTCGGCCCACGTTTTGCTGTCCCCCGGCCGGCGTTTCGGCGACTCAGCCCAGCGGGGGCTCCCGGGTCGCAGTCCAGCCCTCCGCTCCTCCCTGTCCCCCGCCCGCCGCGTCCACGGCGACACTCCCTCCCCCCCGCAGTGCCCGGCACCCGGAGCGCTGCCCTGCCCCCACGGCCGCCAGGAAGGACGCAGCCCGGGTCCCGTGCCAGGCCTGTGAGTGTGCGGCCCCTCCCAGCAGGGCCAGGAATGCGGCTGGACCGCGGGGGCGGCCGCAGACACCCGGCGCGCTCCGGCCAGCCTATCACGCCGGCAGTCAGGCAGGTGGCCCCGGCTTGCCTGGGCCTGGGTTTCTTCTACAAGGAAAGCCAACTGCCTGCCTGCCCCTGAGGGCCCTCCCTTCGGTCCAGCCACCAAGCTTGGGGACTTTATTTTGGAGGCCTCTAAAGTGCCCTGTCCTTTCCCCAAAGAGAGACGTGGAGTGGGTTTTATTTTGAAAAACTGGCGGGCACCTCCCCCTCTTTCACCAGGTTCCTGGAGAACTGTCATTGCTCTCAGAAGCAGCTCTGTCCAGCCTCCAGCTTTGTGTTGTTTTCAATTCTGGGCCACTCTGGGGACCTCCTCCCCCTCTCCCCTCAAGGTACACAAGGAAGGACTAGGTTCATTTTTTAAAAGTGGCCTGGGGCTTCTGCACACACAGGCAAAATGCAAACCAAGTTGAGTATGTTCTGGGGAGTTTGGCCAGTTGCCAAACTAGTTAGCCAGCTTTTGGGCTCAGTTCAGTAGTAAAGTTCATGATGTGAAACCCACCTCCCCCATGATGACCTCCCAGAGCCTTGGTTTTCTCACCTGTAGAATGGGGATCATAATAAGAATCCCCATCTTGTGGGGTTGCTATAGGATTAAGTTAACATGTCAAGTGCTTAGAAGAGACAAAGAAACACAGACTGGAGACTTCCTAGGGCCTGGTTTTAATTTCAAAAAATGAGTTGCTATCTCCTCCTATATTAGGGAAGGAATAGTCCAGACTGTGACCCCACAGGATTCAGTCCAGCATGGGGCCTGACCCAATCACACTCCAGCCACCAGGCCCTGTCATTCCATCACTAGGGGTCAGTCCTCTTCCACCAGCCTCAACAAAAGAGGACACATGTAATGTGCCCAGGACTGGATTCATTCTCTCCAAAGTGGCCCAAGCCCCCCTATCTGTGCTAAGGAGCCAGCTATGTCTTTCCAAGGGGGGTTGGTCCAGCCATCAGGCTCGATTCAGGTGCCAGACAACCATCCCAGTCCTGGGGGTCAACGCCCTGGCCCCGGCTGCCGCTCCAACGCCTGTGTGCCCACCAGCACGTCCATGAGGTAGTCCAGCTCAGCCTCATCCAGCTCTGGAGCCTCCTCTTTGCCTGGCTCATCCTCAGGGCCAGGTTTGAAACCCTCAGAGGCTGGTGCCCAAAGTTCACTGTCATACATGGAGGTGTCAATGTCCTCAAATAGTCCTTCGAGCCCATCGTCCAACAGACAGCCAGTGGCTGGGCCTAGCAGGTCCAAGGCACCCAAACTGGGTGGGGCTCCTCCAACGGGGCGGCCTGGAGGCCCCTCATCTGCTGGTGGTTGTGGAGCCTGGTTAAGGTCCTCAATGTGGCTGAGGTCCTCCAGGAGGCTGGCCACAGAGGCTGAGAGGGCGGCATCAGAGCTGGCCAGCAGGTTATCATCCATGCTGGGGGCCGGGGGTGGGTTGGGCACAGATGGCAGGACAACTGTGGGTGCCATGGATGCTTGGATACGCCGCAGGGTGTTCACCACCAGCACCAGGTGCCGTAGGTCTGGTTCACTCTGTCGCAGGCTGTGGTGAAGTTTGATCACAGAGAGGTCAAAGAGGGAGCTGGAGGCCACAGCTGGGGGTGCCTGTGCCACTGCTGGGTGGCCAGGATCCAGCCACCAGGCGTCCACTGCCAGGGTTTCCTTTTCCTTCTCCTCCTCCTCCTTCTTCTCTTCCTCCTCCTCCTCCTCCTCCTCCTCCTTCCGCTTGCGTTTCAGACCCTTGCTCAGCATTGTCTGCAGGGAGGGAGAAGCCCTTCAGTTATGGCAAGCAGATCTAGAATTTACACCCTGCCCGTGTGATCTTGGGCAAATTATTTAACCTGAGTCTAGACTTTCTAAAAGAACTTTTAAGTTATGGTTAATAATGATGTCTATAAGTTTTAAGGATTAAATGAGATAAACCAAAAGCACTTACAACATTGTCTGTACTGGTAATTACTCATTGATACTCAATAATATTATTTTGTTTGTTTCTTCAGTGGACCATGTGGAATGACCAATATTCAACCTTTTAAGATAATTTTAAAAAGCAGATTTTGACATTTTTTTTTCCTTTTGCGGTGCTGGGGATTAAACCCAGGTCCTTGTGCATATCAACTGAGCTATATCCCTAGCCCCCAAAGCTGGTTTTGTATAGCATATTTACTGAGTGTCTACTATGTGTCAAATAATACACAAATACAGGAAATGCACAGATAGGGATGGGAAGATACTTAAAAGGTCCTGGAGATGATCAGTATAGGCACCTGTAAGGAGCTGACACAATGAAGGAAAATATTCCAAAGAGAGGGAACAAAAGTAAAGAAATACCCACAGGCTGGATAAGCCTGAACTGAAAAAAGACCAGCGTGATTGGTGTCCAGAGTGTGACAAGTAGGAGTCCAAGTGGGGGTGGGGAGCAGGCAGAAGAGGAGTGTGGATTTTGAGTGTGGCAGGGAGTCATTGAGGGGGTTCGAGCAGGGAGGGGAGTGGTGCTGTGAGCTGATTAGGTTTCCAGAAGATGCCCTTTGGGGCTGGGGGACTGTGGGGTGGGCCTGAGACCCATTCAGTGGCTGCTGCACTAGTAGGGACCTGTGATGCTGATGGCTTAAGAAAATTGATCGATTCGATTCAGGGCTTATTCGGGAGACGGGGCTTGCCGCGAAATCCTGCTGGACACCGTGGGTCTGTCACTGAGAGACGTTTGAGGACTAACACTCTTCCCGGAGTGGGGGGCGGCTGGAGTTTTGGACCCCTGGCCCAACCTACTTTGGGGGCCACTAAGACTGCGGGGTCCAGTCCCCGGTACGTTGTCTAGCAAGATCCTAAGGGTGAACCACCGCACTACTCAAAACTGGATCTTTGCCGCCTTTCCCCAAGACCTGCAGTCCGGAACCACAGGAATTCAGCCCCCACCCCGACTCCGCCCCCCGACTCCCGGCGCCCCCTAGCGGCGCCCAGGCCGGCTTTCCCCCGGGGATTCCGGTCCCTCTGACCCTGACTCTTTACACGGCCCCGAGTCCTGTCTACGGTTTCTGCCTGCCACTCGGGGCCGTGCAGGCCGAGACCTCGGCCGGCGCTTCTTCGATTCTGGCCTCCCCTCGTTTCCGGAAGGCAGTGGAGGCGGCTCCTCCTGAAGCGGCGGCGGCGGGGGCGGGTGAGTCACGCAGCCGGAGCCAGGGAGTCGGCGCCTCCGCCCCCTTCTCGGGCTGCGGCGTGATTCACCCAGCCCGGCTGGGGCAGGCGGCACGTATAAGCCGAGAGTCTCGATCCCGGGCATCTCGATCCGGGCAGCCCCGGTACTCATCTGTCTGACCCGGGAATCGAACACACCAAAAGACCGGTCACCGGTACCCCTTCTTTCCCCAGGCCCCTTTATTTACATACCCAGCTCACTCGCTGCCAATCAGAACAAAGAGGTAGCCACCCGCAGCCAATCAGAAAGCCGCGGCAGCAGCATCGCTCGCTCGCTCTCCTTCAGCAACCGGCGCCTGGGTCGGGAGACGCAGCTCTGACTCTGGAGCACGACTCGGGACTCCTGACTACTCTTAGCTACCGCCCACTCGCGTGGCGGCCCCGCCCTTCACCCCAGGGATAGGCCCTGGACGGTGATGGGCGGAGCCGGCATGGGGCAGATTCAAAAGGAGGGGAGGTTGCCTTCAAGGCGCATGCCCGGGTAGCTGCTTCAGGGAAGCGGGTAAAGACCGGTGGCTATTTGCCCTGTGGGACGGTGGCGCATAGGGGCTTTTCGGCCTTTGAAAGTGCAGATTCTTCACATCTACTCATGCACCTGTCAAGCCGAGCAATTGAGGTTCTTACGTACACAGCCTCAGTAGGGGTCTACACTCTAGGCTAGAGTCGCCAAGTTTCACTATTCGCTCCGTGTGTGACCTTGGAAAAATACTTGACCTCTCTGCGCCATACACAGTCTGTTAAATGGGGATTCTCTTGCCTAACTTTTAAGCATTAGCAAAGTTAGGTGGGCGAGGTGGAGCATGCCTGTAATCCCAGCGACTCTGGAAGCTGAGGCCAGAGTGTCACACATTCAAGGCCAGCCTCAGCAACTTGGTGAGGTCCTAGGTAATTTAGTAAGACCTTGTCTCAAAAATAAGAAATAAAAAGGGCTGGGGGTGTAGCGGTTAAGTGCCTCTGGTTCAGTCCCTAGGACCTAAAACAAACAAACAACCCCCCCCAAAAAAAAAAAAAGAAAAAAGAAAAAAAAAACGAATTGGGAAAGTTCAAATAAAATTGTATCTGTGAAGAGCACTATACCAGACTTAGCAAAGGCTGGACAATTGAATTCAGCTGTGGTTAAGAGTACAAAGGTTAAGTGGGAATGGAATATCCCTTGTCACATCTTGGTCTCTGTTCCCTAAGTAGCTATGTGATCTTGGGCAAGTGTTTTAATCCCTTAGAATCTCAGGGTTTCCTCTTTAGAATAAGGGTAACAAAAACGTCTGGGTGTTTTGTTTATTTGTTTTTGTTTTTTGGTACTGGGGGGTTGAACCCAGGGGTGCTTTAAGACTGAGCTACATCCCTAACCCTTTTTATTTTGATACAGAGTCTCTCAGTTGCTGAGGCTGGCCTCCAACTTGGAATTATCTCAGCCTCCCAAGTTGCTGGAATTACAGATGTGTGCCTCTTCACCATCTCATGTTCTCTTGTGATACTGGGAATGAAACCGAGGGCTTCACATATGCTAGGCAAACACTCTACCACTGAGCTATATCCCCAGCCCCCATGTTCTTATTATTTATTTATTTATGTACCAGGGATTGAATCCTGGGGTGCTTAACCAATGATACACATCCCCATTTTGTTTTTAAATTTTTATTTACTTATTGTCTAGGGTGGGGGGTTCCAGGGATTTAACTCAGGAGCCCTTGGCCACTGAGGTACATCCTCAGCCCTATTTTGTATTTTATTTAGAGACAGGGTCTCACTGAGTTGCTTAGCACCTTGCTTTTTTGCTAAGTCTAGCTTTGAACTTGTGATCCTCCTGCCTCAGCCTCCCAAGTTGCTAGGATTACAGGCTTTCACCACTGCACCTGGCTCCATGTTCTTATTCTTAAGAGATGCCTGGTGCAGTTCAGTGGTAGGGCATTTGCCTTGCATGAGCAAGGCCCTAGGTTCAATTCCCCAAAGTGGGGGGGAGGTAGAATTTCAAGATGTCTGCAATTTATTTTTTGTTGTTTTAGCAAAAACAATAACAATCTCCCCAATAAAAACCGAACACACACGTGTATGTATAGATAAAGGCAATTTAGCAAAATGTTAACAACTATTAATCCAGTTGGGAGTCTATTTGTGTGCTCAGAATATTTTTTCCCTTTTCTATGTGTTTGAATTTCATAATAAAAACAGAGTAAAGATGCTAATTTGAACCAGGCTCCTGTTAGGCAAATCCCATAATTCTACCCACAATCCATTTTTATGACCTGGCAAAAATGAGGCTCAGAGAGTCTCCAAGTGGCTTCTTTCAGGCTATACACTGAAGAAGAGCTTACAGAAATCATTTGATTAACATGTACTTTTTGAGCACCTATTATGGATGGATACTGTTGATGACAGGGGTACAGCACTGGATCAGGGGAGGGGATGTAGAGAGGAAAGAAATATGATCCACAAACTGATCCACAAACCTTTCGCATTGAGCCTCTTCTGTGGACCAGACACTGAAGATATGCTAGTGAAATTGTAGATCAAAATTCCTGGTGGGAGGAGATGGACCATAAACTTAAATTACATAGTATTTTAGGAGCTGATAAGCGCTAGGGAAACCCATAGCACGGGGGAGGTCGTAATGAAAGGGAGTGCAACTTTGAGGAGGGGAAAGGGGTTCTCTGAAGGGGTGACATTTGAGCGGAGTCCCTAGGAAATGAGAGAGTTAATCAAACTCTTGGAGAAGGAAAGAGCCCATGCAAAAGCCCTGAGGTGCTGTTGGCGGGGAGGCCAGTGTAACTGGACTGGGAGATGCCGAGGAGGAGGGCACAATCTAGGGACCTCACTCCCAGTGGGATTCCAAGACCCTGGAAGATGAATGAACGAGAGAAATAATTTCTGACTCGAAGAAAACAAAATAGGACGGAATGACAGAGGGGCCTGTGGCCAGGGTGGTCCCCGAGGGAGCCTTCCCGAGGAGGTGACACTGGAGATGGAACCAGAAAGTGGAGAAGGAGCCAGGAATTCAAAGGCTGTGGGGAGGGAGGAAGAGCGGACCGGGGCCTTGGGAAAGGAAACCAGAAGCGAAGCCACCAGGCCCGGCTGGCCGGCCGGGGAGAAGCCACCGCCAGCTGGGGAGGGAGGAAGGGAGGGAGAAGGGTGGTCAGGGGAGCGTCCCGCCCCCAGCCGGCCGCCCCGCCCGGCCTCTGGGGAGGGAGGAGGCGCCAGGCCGGCTCCCGGCCGCGGCCACCTCCCGAGTCCGGGGCGAGCTGGCCAGCCCGGGCGGAGGGGGCAGGTGGGAGGGACCGAGCTCCGTGCCACGCCCCGGGGGCGAGCGACCCAGCCCATCCCCCGGCGCAGGACCGTGCAGGAGGCAGGTTGGGGAACGTGGACTCTGTCCCCAGGGTTCCCTCGGCAGGGCCAGCCTTTCCACTTCTGTGGCCAGTTCCTTGACAGGTGCGACATTAGGGCAGGAGTTGGGCTTCAGTTCGTTCACCTGGAAAGTGGGGGTTCTCCTGATCCTGGCTTCGCCCGGGGTACTAAGAACCTCCCGGATTCCCCTTTCTCTGGGTTCTCTTTAGGGAAGTCAAAAAGAGAGTTCTAAGAAAAAGGTGAGTCAGGTTTCATCCCTCCTCTGCTGAACATCCTCCCTTGGCTTCCTTGTCACTCAGGGTGAAGCTGAAACTCCCACCAGACCCTTCCTGATTTGCCCGCTCACCTCCTGCACCTCTTCTCCTGGTATTCTGGCCCGCGGCTCACTCTGCTCTGGCCCCCTGACCCTGCACACTGACCCTCAGACCTCCTACTCAGGCTCTGACCTCAGGGCCTTTTGCACTGGCTATTTCCTCTACCTGAGCTGTAATCACCTGGCTCACCCCTTACCTCCTCAGGTCTTTACCTAAATGTCACCTTTTCTGTGAAGCCATCACTGGCCATCTCATCTAAATAGCAACACCCTATCACTTCCCCGTCTTCTTCCACAATATTTATCATCACCTGACAGTCTACATTTTAACTTTTTTTTTTTTTTTTATATTGGGGATAAAACCTAGGGCTGCTCAACTCTAAGCCACATCCATGGCTCTTTTTATTTTTTTATTTTGAGACAGGGTCTTACTAAGTTCCTTAGGTCCTTGCTCAGTTGCTGAGGCTGGCTTTGAACTTGGGATCCTCCAGTCTCAGCCTCCCAAGCCCCTGGAATTCCAGGCCTGAGCCACCACGCCCAGCTTTTAGCTTCTTTTTAATGTTTATTTCACTTTCCTGTCATGATCATTCCTGCCAATGGGACTTGTCCATTTTATTCATGTGCCCGGCCCACAGCAGACATGCAACAAATATGAGCCATTATTGAGTCTCTGGGGTGCATCAGGCTCCCCGTATACACATTCTGCACATCTTGCTCTGTAAAGCAGATATTACTGTAGAATGGCATTTGAGGACTAGCAGGGACTAGTGTGGCTAAAGCAAGGAGTAATGTGTGTGAAAGGTGAGTTAAGAGAGGTGGGAGGGAGGGGTGGCTATTCAAGGTCTGGAGGGGTTTTTTCCCCAATGTCAACAAATAATTTTTGGTTACCCACCTGTGCCTGCTATAGTTCTATGTCCTGGGTAGTCGGGGAGGATACAGCTGGGCAAAGCCCAACACTGTCTCTCCTCTCGGTTTCCAATAGAGAGGTGGAGGCTAGAGAGGCTATCATAAATGGGTAATAAATAACTTGGGATTGGGTAGGTAGGTGCTACTGAGAACAGGAGGGTGAGGTGGCACACGCCTGTAGTCCCAGTAACTCAGGAGGCTGAGGTGGGAGGATGGCAAGTTTGAGGATAGCCTCAGCAATTTAGCCAGACCCTGCCTCAAAATAAAAAGGGGCTGGGGACAGGGATTCAGTGGAAGAGTACCCCTGGGCTCAAGCCCCAGTACTGAAAAAGGAAAAGAAAAGAAAAAAAGCAAAAGAAAGTCAAACAGGATGTGTGGTAGTGTGGTGGTACCCCTGGACATGTCACGCTAGGAAGGATAAGCGACGTTTGGGTTGGTGAAGCTGTGGGGAAGTGTCCTCTGGGTAGATTTACTAGTAAGTGCAAAAGGCCCTGGGGTGGAAAATAAGCTTGGGGTCTAAAGAGACCAGCATGATAGAGTTGAGTGGAGAGTGAAAGATGAAAGGGGGAAGTTGTCAGGAGTGAGAGTTAACACAGGCTTCGGTCGAGTAGGGGTTTTATTCTGAGTAGGACAAGAGATAACTGGAGATTTCAGGAACAGGAAGACATGATTCAATTGGCATCCATCTTGGAATGCAGGCCTTATGTGCTTTCTTGAGATCCCCCTAGTCACTTCCTCCCTCTCTCTCTAGATTGACATCTACCTCAGGTAACCTGTCTAATTTTTAACTTAACTACAATGCCCCCCTCAGGGTGAGATATTTGGATGAGCCAGAAACCACAGGCAAAATCCTCATCCTTTCTCTGCCCGCCAATGATATACTTAGGTATGGTTCCTCCTGGCAACTCTAGAATAAAGTCACTTTATTCTTTTTTTTTTTTTTTTTTTTTGGGGGGGGGGTTCCTGAGGATTGAACACAAGGGTACTCTACTACTGAGTTACACCCCTAGTCTTTTTGAGACAGGGTCTTCTACATTGCTTTGGCTATCCTTGAATTTGAAATCCTCCTCCCTCAGCTTCCTGAGTACCTAGGATTATGGGTGTGCACCATAGTGCCTGGGTCAGAAAAGTCCCTAATGCTGAATAAACTCACCTGGGAATGGTCATGCGGGAGTGTATGACATTGCCTTCCCTCTGGCCTCCCTTCTTTCCGCCCCCACTCTGTCCAGGCAGGGTTTGTGACTCCCAAACAAAGTATCTGTTCCTTAACTCAGGCAGGGCTCTGCTTCCTGGCAGTCTCCTAAAAAGATCTGCTTTCAGCCAGGCTTGGTGGTGCACGCCTGTAATCCCAGCAGTTTGGGAGTCTGAGGCAGGAGGATTGCAAGTTCCAAGCCAGCCTCAGCAATGGTGAGGTGCCAAGTAACTCAGTGAGACCCTGTCTCTAAATAAAAAATACAGAGTGGGGCTGGGGATGTGTCTCAGTGGTTGAGTGCCCCTGAATTGAGTGTCCCTGAATTCAATCCCCATACCAAAAAATAAAGCTCTGCTTTCAGGACTGGGAGGGTGTGGATGTCTGTGCGCATGATCTTTCCCTTCTGGGCCTCAACAGCATAGTTTATAACAATGAAAAGTTTGACTTTTTTTTTTCTTTTTTTGTAGTTGTAGATGGATAGCATGCCTTTATTTCTATGTGGTGCTGAGGATAGAACCCAGTGCTTCACATGTGCTGGGCAAACACTGTTTGTCACTGAGCTATAGCCCCAGTCCATTCCACAGGAAGTTTAAATCTATCAAGAAGCATCATAAACTCAATGGCTAAGGGCAAAGCTTTTGCTGGGGATGTAACTCAGCCCAGGGCCCTTCAGGCACTTCACCTGGCATGCCAGAGGCCCTGGGTTCCATCCCAGGTGTGGCAAAACTACCACCAAACAAGAAAGCTCTGGAGGCCAACTCACTTTAAACCCTGTCTCCTTAGTCCTTGGTCTTCCTCAACTGTGACCTTGAATAACAAGTGATTTAGCCTTTGAACTTCACATTTGTTTTTTTGTAGTGCCCAGGGCCTCGCCCATGTTAGGCAAGCACTCTACAGCTGAGCCACTCCCTCAGCCCCTGAATCTGTTTTCTAAGGAAAATGTGATAACAGTACTTACTGCTATATAAGGATGTAGGATTAAAGGACTTAATTCAAATAAAGTGGTTAAAACAGTACCCTCAACAAGCACTCAGTAACTGTTAGGTACAAGGATACTCCTACCTTACCTTTAGCAGGGAAACGTGCAGGTGCCTGGGGAACTTCCCAGGTCCCTCCCATCAGCACCCAATGAAGTTTAGAAACTTAAGGCAACACCACTCCTCTCAAAATACTTTTATTTAAAATAAAAAAAAAAATTAAACAATCAAAAAAAAAAAAAAGCCACCACAAACCCTGCCTTTCTTTTTAAATAACGCGGCATGGAGCAGTTTGGTTTCCACCCTATTGCACGTGGTCCGGCCTGGTTCTGAATCAGGAAGCTGCTGGGGCTGGGGTCCTGCCAAGGAAGTGGGGTTCAGCCTGGGGGAAGGAGACCAGCCCCTCCCACTCCCTCAAGAGGCAGAGCCTGGGTTTCTAGAGCAACCTGGCAGCACACCCCTGCCACTGTTGACAGGCCCCACTTTATCTTCCCTGAGGACCCAGTGGTCACAAGGGGAGTGGGAACTGGAGGAAAGGCAGAAGAAATGTGAGAAGTCAGACTCCCAGAAACAGAGTCTCATTAAGGCATTTGGAACAGATAAATTAATTCAGGAAGACCCACCTTCACAGAAGGCGGGGGTAACCAGAGACACACACATGCAAGTAAGTTTGTGGAACCCTGAAATGGGAGGAAAGGAGACCATAGTCACTATCTGGAGCCCCCATCAAAACACACAAGTTGCATCCAGGGATCCAGCCCACTGAGGCCGCCGTGAGGAAGGGTTCTGTCCCCTTGGTAGTTTTTAGGATCCTAGAATGATTTCCATGATGTGATCTAGTTCATTCCATTCCCAGGACCCTGGGGCACAGAAGAGGTTGTGAGGAGGTTCTGGGGGGGCCAGTGCAGGCTCCTTTTCCACTGCAGATGTGTCAATGTCCAGAAAGAAGTCATCCAGGCCAGAGTCCCCCAGGTACCGGGAGCTCAGAGCTTCTAAGAAGACTGGGTCAGGTTGGGGAAGCACTTCGTTCTGGAGGCCTGGGGGAGCCACTGGATTCTGAGGTGCTTCTGTCTCATCCATGGATGTCTCCAACTCCCTGAGGATAGAGCCGATGGTGGTGGACAGGGAGAAATCTTCTTCGCCCAGGAAGAGGGGCTCGGGGGGCAGGGCAGGTGCTGGAGCCAAGTGAATGGCAGCCTGGAGTTGCTGTAGGGTGTTGTGGATGAGGACATGCCTGCGGAGGCTGGGTGCTCGGGGGCCCAGGCTGCGCTGGACTTTGTCTAGGGAGATGCGTAGCAGAGCTTGTTGGCAGCTCCGAAGGCTTGCTGGACTCCAGTCCCACTTTTCATCCTCCTCCTCCTCTTCCAAATCTGAGTGTTTCCTCTTCAGGCCTCCCACCATGATGCTCTATGAAGAAACGAAGGGCAAGTACAGATACATGGTCATTTGGATCCCACTTTTCCAGGTAGGACTGTGGAATTGGGAGTGACTTTTTTTTTTTTAAATATTTATTTATTTTTTTTATGTGATGCTAGGGATTGAACCTAGTGCCTCACATATGCAAGCCAAGTGCTCAACCACTGAGCTACAACCCTAGCCCCTTGGGAGTGACTTTTAAAATGCACATAGCCAGAATCCTACAAATTTAAGAAAGTGATAAATGCATGTGATTAAGAACATAAGATGGGAGCTGAGCGCAGGCAGGAGTCCAAGTTTCAAGCCAATCTGTGCAACTTAGTGAGACCCTGTCTCAAAAAGTAGAAACAGCTTGGGACTTAGGTCAGTGGTACAGCACCCCTGGGATCAACCTCAGTACCAAAAAAAAAAAAAAAAGAAATAAAACAAGACGTGGACTTTTAAACATAAGCTGGGTTTGAATATCCCTTATTTGCTTGTTGTGTGCTGTAACAATGAATTTACATCCATAAGAATCAATCTCTTTGGGGCTGGGGTTGTAGCTCAGTGGTAAAGTACCTGCCTAGCATGTGTGAAGCACTAGGTTTGATCCTCAGCACCACATAAAATTAAAATAAAGGTATTCTGTTCATCTACAACTAAAAATATATTTTTTAAAAAATCAATCTCCTCATCTGCAGAGTAACTCAAGATCCCAACTCAAGTCCTTCAGAATTTTTTTTTAACCTTTATTTTATTTGTTTTTATGCAGCGCTGAGGATTGAACCCAGTGCCTCACCTGAGTCAGGCAAGCGCTCTACCACTGAGTTATAACCCCAGCCCAGTCCTTCAGAGTTTTAAAACTATTCTCCATAATACTAATTTCTTCAGACACCTCACCCACCCGATAGGTGTGGAGTACAGAGACCTGGATCAGAAGTAGAGAATTCCAGGTCTGAACTCTGCCTTGGACACTGCTCAGTTGTGTGATCTTGGGAAATGATGTGAGGTCACTTCTGTGGGACTCATTTGTAAAATGGAGATTGTGAAAATACTTTCCACCACATAGTCAAGGAGACACCTAATGTGTAATATGTACAAGGCACAACACACAGCAGAAAGTACTTAATGAACAAGAATTAATTTATTCGTTCGAATTAATTCATTTGTTCAATAGTCGGTCTCCCTCCCTTCATCCACCCTATCCCCACCCCTGCATCGTGCAGGGGATGAACCCAAGGCCTGGTGCACACTAGGCAAAGGCTTTATCACTGATTCCCCAACACCAGCTCAATAGTTGTTTTCTTTGTATTGGGCACCAAACCCAGGAGCACTCTACCACTGAGCCACATCCCCTGTCCTTTTTTCCACTTTGAGACAGGGTCTCTCCGAGTTGCCCAGCTGGCCTCGAAATTGCCTTTCTCCTGCTTCAGCCTCCAAGTCGCTGGGATTACAGGCTTGCTCCACCGCGCCCAGTTCAGTAGTTTTATTCGTGCTACCTGGAGAATGTTAGTGCACCTATTTGTCGGTTGTTTTTCTTACAGGGAGGATAGTCTGTCCCTTTTCTCTTTCCTAACTGCCTGGGAGCACTCCAAAGAGCAGGGAAAGGACCTTCCTCATTCCTTCCATCAGCGCCTTCAGCTTCCCCCAAAGCGCACCCCACAGGAAAACTTGCTAGAACTCAAGTAACGCCAAGACCCGCCCCTTAGCGATCCACCCAATGAAACTTTGGTGTCCCACAGGCTCCGCCCCTCCCTGGGTCTATATTCAGCACCCAGGAACGCCCCAATTGGACCCAGGTGCTTCTGGGAAATGTGGACCAATAGCCGCCACGCACAAACAGATCAAGAATTCGCACTACAATCCCCAGAGGGCCCCGCTCGCCAAAGGGACAAAACCACGCCCCTACCGCCCTTAGGGCATGCGCACAGGGGTCCCGGTTGTGGGGGGAAGGGAACCCGGACGTCCAGCTGCCGGGCGCCAGGCGAGCCCCGCCCTCTCTTGCCTCCGGGGCGGCGAGTCTGAGCTCCACGCCCGGAACACCCCTCCCCCACCCAGCTCAACTCTAAAAGTGCTTTTCCGCGGTCCCTAAAACCCCAAAAGGTAAGGGATTCTTCTCCAGACTTCTCTCCGGTCCAGAGACCCAGGAATTCAAAGACGACAGATGCTCTTATATCCACCTCGTTGGGGCGACTGGGATATCAATTTTTAGACCTCCCTAAACTCTCCTAATTTTCCCCTTTGAAAGGTCCCTAGATCTCAGCTCAAACTCTCCGTCCGTCTTCAAGACCCGAACATTGAACTCTCTCCGTGAGCACTTCTTCTCCGCCACAGCGTCTTGGACTCTTTAAGATCCCTTGACTCTAGTTCTCTGGTTTCACCAAATGTTCATGATACCAGCCTTCAATTTCTCACACCTTAACCAGAATACTACGGAGCCCCGAACTCAGCCCATCGGGGAAATCTAAACTGTCTTCGAATCTTTAAGACACCCTGCCCCAAAAGTTCCTTCCCCGGGTTCTCTGGCTTCTCCAATTACTCCATGTCGCAGCTTCAAATTTCCTCCATCTGAAAATCCTGCCTCACCTCCCGCCCTGGATCGCGAACTCAGTCTCTGGGCCTCAAACTCTTCACACCTTATCAGTCACCTTTAATCTGCGCCCTCCACTCCCGCCCAGACCCCACCTCCACTAATCTCTGGAGCACGCCTCTACATCCCCCAACCCAAGGTAAATCCCAAATCAAGTGGCCACTCCTCACCTCGGATGCCAGGTTCGCAATGACCACCTCCAGGAAAGCCTACCGCGTACCGACCCACCAGTGCGGAGTAGAGACCTAGCTCACCTCCCGGGGGCCTCTCCTCCTGGCCTCAAACCACCCAGCTCCGCCCCGGAGCCTAGCCGCGAGCCAAGATTGGCTGGAATCCTGCCCACCGCGGGGCTCCGATTGGCTGGGCGGAGCCACGGTCGGACGCCCGGAGACCCTACCCGCCCAACCCGCCCTACTCCCCTCTCCTCCCAACCCGCCCTACTCCCCTCTCCTCCCAACCCGCCCTTCTCCCCTCTCCTCCCCTCTCTTGCGCCCGCGACCATTTAAAGGATTCCGAGCGGTCATGGGCAGAACTGCATCGCTAGGGTCCAGGACCGAGGGTAGTGGAGAGCAGTCAAAGCCGCTCCCTTCAATTTAGCTACGGTCTTTGTACCAAGATCGTCAGTATTGCTGTCTACGGTCCCTTTATACCAGGCCGGGACCCTGTTGCCGAGTTAGACCGGTAGGCACCCGCCCCCCTCCCTGCTTTTCAGGCGGGCGGGGCTGAGCACTGGCAGAGGCCCCGCCCTGGGTGTTCCTAAGGCTGGCACTGTAGCGGAGGTGGGGGGGGGCGGATGATGTAGCTAAACGCTAGCCAATGGTTTTGCGCGGCCTGTGTTGCCTGGGCGACCACGGCCCCGCCCCCTCGCTGCCTGGGTCCTCCCTCCCTGCCTGACACTGTAAGAAGTTGCAGCCCTTTCTTAATCCCGCACACTTCTCAGCACGGCCTCTGGTGGTCCCCCGTGGAATCCCTCTGGCACTCCATTCTTCGTCTCAGGATGGCCCCTCTGCTGCTGGAAGCTTTTCATGGCTTCCCACAGCCTTGAAAATTCCAGATTCCTTAAGCTTTTGCCTCAAAGCCCTTCACGATCTGGCCTGTGAGCCTCTCCCCCACGCTAGAGACATCACTTTCAGTTTTTCTAAAACTTTCACTTTCAGTTTTTCTAAAATGGCTCCAGTCTTCCCTCAGCACGAATTAAGGGATTTTGTCCGCTTTCTTCGCTGCTTTGTCTTCAGTACCAGCAACATGACAGTTCCATAGCACGCACTCAAAAATGAGAATGGGTGACTGGGGTTGTGGCTTAGTGGTAGAGTGCTTGCCGCGCATGCGTGAGGCACTGGGTTCCATCCCCGGCACCACATAAAAATAAAAACAAGTTAAATAAAGGCATTGTATCCACCTACAACTTAAAATTAAAAAAGAGAAAGAGAGGGCTGGGGTTGTGGCTCAGCGGTAGAGCTCTCACCTAGCATGCGTGAGGCCCTGGGTTCGATCCTCAGGGCCAGTAAATAAAATAAAATAAAGGTACTGTGTCCAACTACAACTAAAAAAATAAATAAAAATTAAAAAAAATAAAAGAGAGTGAGAAAGAGGGCTCTTTAAGTTTGTTTCCTCGTCCTGAAGTAGACTACGTCTCTAAGAATCCATCTCCAAGTCAGGCGGTGGCTTATGCCTGTAATCTCAGCAACTCATCAGCAACTCGCAGCCATCTTGGCAATTTAGTGAGACCCTGTCTGAAAGCAAAAAATAATCGGGGCTGGGAAGTGGAGCACCCTTGGGGTTCTATCCCCAGTACTGCAAAACATAAAAAAATTCCAAGGTTTCCTCCTCCCAGAAGTCCTCACGCATAGGCTAGATCCGGCCAATTTGGGGTGCCCATGGTTTCCTGTGACACTCCCCACCACCCCCTTTTTGCCACCCCAGTCCTGGGCCATCACTGTCTGAGCTGTGGGTTATCTCTGTCACCCACTGTTTGTTCTGTCGCAGCAGCCCCCCCTGGAAAGTGAGGCCTGGTGTGTGTGGGGGGGAGGGGTGTGCCAGATTGGGTCCAGGCCTCCATATGCTGGTATCAAGAGGCAGCAAAGAGCAGCGGTGATGATCTTGTTGGGAGGCCACAGAGCTCATACACAGTGAAAGTTCATTAAATGCTTGGGCAATGTGACAGAGAAATGGGAGGGCAGAAATGGAATCCTGCTGGCTTCCTGAGGTCTGCCCCAGCAACCCCCCATCCCCTCCAGAAGTGTTCACTAAGGGGAAGGGGAGGTGTTTTATTTAGCCATCCATAGAAGGGAGGAGGTATAAGACTCCTCAGGTCAGTTCTCCAGCGTTGGAATTTGTCAATCGAGTCGTCCTGGTGCTTGCAGTGCAGACCTGGAAGGGATTTCTAAGGCTACAGAGGTGGGGAAATGGGTAGTGAGCCGGGTGGACTAATCCCTGTTGATTAGTCCTCCCTCCCTTCCCCCACAGACTGTCCATCCAGGCTCTTGAGAGGTCCTCCCACCTTCTCTGTCCTCCCCAAGGCCCCTGCTTTGGTTCAGCTCTCCCAGACTCCAAGGCTGTCCCCCTCCTACAGATCCACCTCCAAACAGTAGCCAAAGAAAGCCTTAAAAAACATACACCTGACTGTCCCCACCCCTCTCCTGCATGAAACCTCAGAATAAAGCTCAAACTTTTTACAATGACTTTGCACAGTTTAGCCCCCATGATCCAGCTTCTTGTATCTGATCTTCTCATCTCAGAGCAAGCAGTATTATTAACTGCCGGGGACAAATTTTAACTCTTCAAAGAAGCTATGTGCTTTCTGGCCTCCTGGCCTTTGCTCCTGTTAATTCTTCTGCCCTAAAATCTTCTCTTGGATTAGTCTTATCAAACCAGGTCTCAGGTTGAATGTATATCCCTTTTCCACAAAACCTTTCTTGCTCTATAAGCTGGGTCAGGTACCCCCTTAGGGATGCCACTGTTCCATGTACTTTATGCATCAGAGCTCTGACCATGCTGGGTTGTCACTGTCAGTGGCAGGGCTATCTTTCTCACTGCACTATGAGATACATGGCAGTAGAGAGAGCAGGGGTCCTAGCTACCTCCTCTGTGCACAGGGGCTGGGCACAGAGAAGGGACTTGATAAACTTTTACTGAACAAATGAATGAATGAGTACCTAGAACATTGCACACAGAGACACTGAAATTCTCACAGGCAGAGAGAGTCCCATTGTCAGGTTGTCTGAATAATTTCAAGCTCTTGGCTCAAATTTTATTGTTCCTTTCTTTGTGTCTCATATCCCAGAATGCCGTCCTCCTGGATGGGGACAGGGTCCTACTCGTACTGGTGGGAGGGATAGGTGCTGTGCCCAACATACTCATCAGTAGTGAGGCAGCGCAGCATGAAGTGGCCCAGGTCATGTTTGGAGATGACCCTTGAGGGTCCTCGTCCATCCAGAGTCACTGTGTAGGCCCCAGTTAGCGGCTGGTCCCCTGTGAGGTAAAAACAGAAAGGATGGCTGAAGCCAATGTCCTTTCCCACCCCCAGCACAGGATGACTGCAAAAGCTTTGCCAGTGCCACCTATGCCCTGCACAGGTAGCACGACAGTCCAGAGGGACTTCCCATGTGCAGGCGCTTATCTGTACCGTTTGCTTCATCTGTTCAACAACTCCTTGTTTCTTTCCTATTATGCACCAGTGCAGTGCACCCAGTAGGGGACAAAACTGATGAGAATCCCTGTCCCCAGCAGACAGACATGCATTAGAAAAAGGCAACTAAAGCAAACAAGTAAAAGAGACAACATTAGGAGGAAAGAGAAAAATCAGAGGTCAGGCTGGGACCTAGGGTCACAAATGGGCCAGCTGAGCCTTAGAGGAAGTCACCTCTCAGGCGTGCAAAGTGTCACTCTCCAGTGGTAAAGGCTGGATTTGCTATGGATTCCCCCAATTCTGGGTGCTTTCCTGTCTCTGGACCTCACTGGGAGGACTGAGTGTCAGGTCTCAAGTATGATTCTGTGTTTTCCAGGCCCTGGAAGAAGAGACACATTCTGTGACAATGAATTGGTATGTTCCATGCCAGAGGTACAACAAGGTCTTTTTTCTTTATGGTGCTGGGGATAGAATCCAGGACCTTGTGCATACCAGGAAACACTCTACCAGGCCCAACTAGCTCTTCCTTAGTAGGGACAGTGGACAGGCATAACCTGACTCTGGAGAGGGCATCTAGTGGCTGCACTATGATAATTAAAAATTGTATCTGACAACAACCAACTAAATATAGGGATCATATGTGATATCACCTGTGCAGGGGCAGCCTGAGATCATATGCAATAAGGAACACATACTCACCCATGTGGCATTCCTGCCAAAAATGTCTAATTTGTATCAAAGAAAAATCTAGAATATGGGACATTTAAAAAGAGCCAGCTGTGATGATGCATGCCTGTGGTGCCAGCTAGTCAGGAGGGTAAGAGGGGAGGATCTCTTGAGCCCAGGAATTGGAGACCAACATAGTGAGATCCCACCTCAAAAAAAAAAAAAAAAAAAAATAGAGCTGGGCTTGGTGGCATACAGCAGTAATCCCAGCTACACGGGAGGCTGAGGCAGAAGGATTGCAAGTCTGAGGCCTGAAGTCAGCAATTTAGCAAGATTCTGTCTCAAAAAATAAAAAGGACTGGAAATGTACTTCAGTGTTGAGCACTAGGGTACCATAACAAACAAATAAATGTTTAAAAATAAAAATAATACTTGGCTTGATTAATATTACGGAAAATGTTGTTTTTTTTAAGGGCAGGGGATATTGTTTCAGATTAAAGGAGAAATGCAACTGAATCTTGATTTGGGGTATAAGAGGTAGTTTGAAAAGATATTTTCTGACAACTGGAGAAATTTGAGAATGGGGTGGATAATGAATGATGTAAGAGTTAATTGGGGGGGCTGGAGTTGTGGCTCAGTGGTAGAGCGCTTCCCTAGCACATGTAAAGTACTGGGTTCTATTCTCAGCACCATATAAAAATACATAAATAAAATAAAGGCATTGTGTTCATCTATAACTAAAAATACTTTTTAAAAAGAGTTAATGTCCATTTCCTTAGATGTGATAATAGTTCTTATGCAAATATCCTTCTTCTTGGGAGATGCCTGTTGAGGTATTTAAGAGTGAAATATGACATGGCTGAAAACTTCTCTCAAATAGTTCATAAATGTACACACACACACACACACACACATATTTAGGAGAAAATATTTATGGAGAGAGAGGTTCAGGACATGGCAATATATTAACTAATAAACCTAGACAAAGGGATCTCTAATGCCTTCAACATTTCTGGAGGTTCAAAAGTTTTCACATACACCAGAAAAACAAAATCTCCAAACACACACGAAAAACATCCTAAAATATACTATTCTGTGTTAACTACTTTTCAGGCATGATCTCTAAGTAGTCACTTCAAACAAGGTTAAGAAGTGGAATAATAGGGGCTGGGGTTGTGGCTCAGTGGTAAAGCACTTATCTGGCAGGTATGAGGCACTGGGTTTGATCCTCAGCACCGCATAAAAATAAATAAATAAAATAAAGATATTGTGTCCATCTACAACTAAAAATATCAAATGTTTTAAAAAGTAGAATAATAGAGCCGGGCATTGACAAATGCATCTGTCTCTCTCCATTATTTACCTATCCCCAATAGAAATGTATGCCTCATGAGAACAGGGACCACATCACCAGCGCTTATATGCTGCCAGGCACACATTCACAGGTGAGAGGCCTCTCTCTAGGCCTGACTCTACGGCTCTCAGAATGGGTTCCAGACCTGAGAAGGGAAAAAGAGGTGCAGTTGTGTTTTACCTTTTCCTTCTCATTATGATTTGGGCCTGGAATGTTCCCCAAAGTCTCATATGTTGAAGGCTTGGTCCCTAGAGCAGCAGTGTGCTGAGGTGGGGCCTTCGAGAAGGTGACTGGATCTTGAGGGCTCTAACCCCATCAGGAGGTTAATCCATTGTTAGACTCATAACTTGATGTCATTACTGAGAGATGGTAGAAACTTTGGGAGGGGTCTGCTTGGAGGAAGGATGTCACTAGGGCAAGATCTGGAGGGGTCTAGTTTATTTCTTTTTGTTTCTTTCTTTTCTTTCTTTTTTTTTTTTTAGCTCCCAGGGATTAAACCCAGGGCTCTCTACCACTGACCTACCTTTCCCACCCCTTTTATTTTTTATCTTGAGAAAGGGTCTCACTAAGTTGCTGAGTCTGTACTTGAACTTGTGAACCTCCTGTGTTAGCCTCCAGAGTAGTTAAGCTTACAGGTGTGTGCCACCATCCTGGATGGAAGGATATATTTGTATTTGTCCCCAGTCCCATTCTCTCTCTCTCTGCTTTCTGAGTGTCATGAGTTGAGCAGCTTTCCTCTGCCATGATATGTCCGCCTCTTTACAGGCATATAAATAAAGGATTCAGTGGACCATGCACTGAAATCTCTGAAACCCTCAGCCAAAATGAACCTTTCCTTCTTTCAATTGCTTTTCTCAGGTATTTGGTCACAGTGATGAAAAGTTGACCAACATGCTCTACAACATGACCACAAGTATGTTTCCCCACATTAGTTCATCTGACAACTACTAAGCACCCACAACATGCCAGGCTTTGTATTAGGCATTAGGAACACAGCTGTGATCCAAACAAGACAAAACCCCTATTTTGGGTGGGGGGTGTAGTCAGTGGTACAGACCTGACCCAACAGGTGCAAGGCCCTGGGTTCCATCCCAGCACCACAAACAAAAACCCCTCTGCTGTCAATACTGACATTCCAGTGAGGGAGACATATACTCAATAACATAAAGAAAGCATATATCTTCTACGTGTGGTAAGTTTAAGTCCCATCTCTTTGATTTAGGTCAGCCCTAATAATTTGTGGGTCAACCCCCCTCTGGCCCTGGGTGCTGAGGATTGAACCTAGGGTCTTGGGCATGCTAAGCATGTGCAATAACTTGCTTCTAATCAACAACATGCATTGGAAGTAGCACTAAGGGGCTTTTGATACCAGGCCATAAAGATGATGTAGCTTCCATAAGGCCCCTCCAAGACTCTTACCTTGGGGACCCAGCTACCATGGTGTGAGGAAGCCCTGGCCACATGGGGAGGCCACCTGAAGGTATCCAGCTGATGTCTGCATCAACCAGCAGACATATCTATGAGGAAGCCTTCCACTTGAAACTAGGCCCAGCCACCCTATGACCGCAGCACTACTTGAGACTCCCAAGAAAGAGCCACCCATTGAGCCCAGTTACCTCCCAGTACTGGGTTACAGTCACCGTAAACAATAGTAGTGTTTCTACATTCAGATGTCTTGTTAAGCAGAGATAACAGCATGTCAGAGATTAAGAAGGGAGATTAAGTAAAGCAGGGAAGGCAGAGAAGGGTAGGAAGCATGTTTGCCTTTTTTGTTGTTGTTGTTTTTTAGAGGGGCACCTGGATATGAAATAGAATTTCTTTCTTTCTTCTTCCTTTTTTTTTTTTTTTGTACCAGGGATTGAACCCAAGGTTCGATCAAAACTGAGCCACATCCCCAGCCCTTTCTTTCTTTTTTTTTTGGTACTGGGACTGAACTCAAGGGCATTCAACCACTGAATCATATCCCCAGCTCTTTTTTTGTATTTTATTTAGAGACAGAGTCTCACTGAGTTGCTTAGGGCCTTGCTAAATTACTGAGGCTGGCTTTGAACTTGAGATCCTCCTGCCTCAGCCTCCCAAGTCACTGGGATACAGACATGAGCCACCAGACCCAGCTGAACTGGGAATTTCATGATATGCAATTGCCAAGGAAGGCCTTGTAGATCTCTCCAGAGGGCAGATGGGAACAAGCTGGAAGTGACAGGGCTGCTGGGTCCCAGCTCCACTCACCTATGTGTGGTGGCATCACAGCCACGTATTTCAGGCCTGACTCCTGCAGCACTTTGTGCATCCGGATGTGGTCATCGGTCACGTCCTGCAGTCGTGGAGGCACCTTGGCTGGGTCCCATAGCAGGAAGGCTGATGGGGAGACACAGGGCAGGGTCAGCCTGTGATGTTTTGACTTGGAGCCAGGACAAAATGCTACAGTGGCTCACTGCAGCCTTACACTGAGTTGCAAAGGTGAGATCTCTTCAGCCGCCTCTCTCTCAAACTCCACCTACGAGCAGTCTGCAGATCACAGTGATTCTAAATCTGACCTCTCCCCACCCCTCCTGGTCCTATCCACTGTGACCTCCCATTCTTCTCTGGTCTCCTTGTCCCTGACTCCCATCCCTCCCAGCCAAGGGAGCCTATGAACACCTGAGTCAGGTCCTGTCAGTGGATCTCACTCAGGGTGAGAGCCAAGTCCTCATCAGGTTCAGCCCAGAGTCCCCAGCTGATCTGGCCCCATCAACTCCCTGACATCACCGCCCAGCATTTCCCTTCCAGTTGGCCTGTGCCAGCCACGCTCCACCCGGCAGCATTTGCAAGGGCTGGTCCCTCTGCCCCAGTGTGATTCCCTCTCCCTGCTTTTCCTTGCACACTTTGATTAAAGGTCGCCTCTCAGAGCAACTTTCCCTGACCAGCCTATTTAAAATCGCAACCCCGCCCTACCGACCACCCCCTTTACTCTGCCTGTTCTTTTCCCCCTGGTATCCTTCCCAGCTTTCACACCAAAGTCACCCTTGGGCCTAAAATACTATCTCCCTCCCTCCCTTGAAAGCCAGTTCCACAGACAGGGACTTTGTCATGTTCACTGTCCCATTCCCAGCCCTTAGAAGGGCCTGGAATCCTGTAGGTGCTCAGTACATATTTGAAGGCATTCCATAGCCTAGCTGAGGCTCACATTTATAAAATGCTAACCATGTCCCAACCCTGCTAAATGCTTGTTTGTTGCTTTGTACTGGGGATTAAATCCAGGGCCACTCAACCATGGACCCACATCCTCAGCCCCTTTTTATATTTTATTTAGAGACAGGGTCTTACTAAATTGCTATAGCTGGCTTTGAACTCATGATCCTCCTGCCTCAGTGCCTCAGCCTCCCAAGCTGATGGGATTACAGGTATAGACCACCCCCAAGCTAAATGCTTTAGGAGCAGTTTGGTAAGATGATTAAGAGCTCGGTTCGGTCTGGGTTGAAGTTCTCAGTCTCCCGCTGGCCAGCTGCCTGTTTCTTCACGTGTAAACTGGGATGATAGAAGATTGAGTTGGGGCTGGGGACGCTGCTCAGTAGCAGAGCAGGTGCTTAGCATGCACAAAGCCCCTGGGTTCCATTCCAAGGACCAAAAAGAAAAAGTGTTGGAGTTAATGCAAATGGTTATGATGAGGTCTGGTACAGAGCAAAACTCAGTCACTGGTCACTGTGATTGTCCCATTGGTTCATGGACAGCATGAGTCCCTCTTTACAGGTGAGGAAACCAAGTCCCAAGGCCACACACACATAAGGGCCTCCCTCTTCATTCAGCATTGAGAACAGCCTCTCCTGAGGAACAATCACAAATCCAGTCTGTCTTTTACCCTGGGTTTCTTTCTAATCCTCTCAGAAACGTCCTTAGAAAACAACTCTCCCCAAACTGTGATGGATTAACTCCAGCTCCTAAGAGGACAAGGGTCTTTCTAATCATGATACTTGAACCCGGAGGGAATATTTGACTCTAAGATTTAGGGACTAGAAGAGGCCTAGAGTTGATTTACTTGGCTGTGACAACAGCATTGTGTTCTAGAAGACAAAGTCCCTTTCTTAGGAGTTGCTGAAGGGCTTCCTGGTCATGTAACTCCACACCAAATAGTTTGGGAAAAGAAAAACAAAAATACTTGTGTACATTTATTTGTACACAGATAAACCAATTATGATAAATTTTAACAATTTTCTTGGCAGTACTAGGGATCGAACCCAGGGCCCCACACATGCTAGGCAAGAACTCTACCACGGAGCCACATCCCCAACCCTTATAACATTTTCTTTTGAGATAGGATCTTGCTAAGTTGTCCGGGCTAGCCTTGGGACTTTTGATCTTCCTGGTTCAGCCTCCCAAGTTGCTGGGATTGCAGGTATGCACAACTGTACCCGGCAATATCAGCAATTTTTGAATCGAGGTGGCAGCAATATAAGTATTCATTCTATTATTTTGTGGGTTTTTTTGTTTGAATTTTTTTATATGCCAGGCATGATGGTAATCATGATGGAACCAATAATCCCAGCTACTCAGTAGGTTGAGGTAGGAATATTGCAAGTTTGAGGCCAGCTTGTGCAATTTGGTGAGATCCTGCCTTAAAGTAAAATAAAATAAAGGGCGGAGGATGTAGCTCAGGAGTAGAGCCTTTGACTAGCATGTGAGAAGCCCTGGGCTTAATCCCCAGTACCAAAAAAAGAAATTTCTAATAATAATAAATATGGAAGATAGATGTAGTGGCATGGGCTTGTAGTACCAGCTATTTGGAAGGCTGAGGCTGGAAGGTCACTTGAGCCCAGGAGTTCGAGACTGGTTTGGGCAACATCATGTGACCTCATCTCAAGTTGCCTGTGCATGTGGGCAGGAGGACACACAAACACAAAGAAAAGTGGGAGGGAGAGAGAGAGAGAGAGAGAGAGAGAGAGAGAGAGAGAGAGAGAGAGAAATCAAGAGCAGACCATTCTAAAATTACAGGTCTGGGATTATTTCTCCATTTCAAAGCTTGAAGGAAAAAAAGCCATAAATGATTTTGCCTCCTGCCCTCCCGCTGGGCATGGCTGCCAGGGCTTTGGGCTTGCTGCCCCTGCTGCCTGGAGAATTACCCCCACCACACAGCCTGTCCTTGCGCCACGTCCCTTCCCAGGAGGCCATCTGAGGGATGAAACACAGGTGAGGGGGGTGGACTGTGGAGACAGGAGCCAGGTGCCCCTCCCTGCTCTGCCAGACACAGATGTGTGAACTTAGGTGATCCAGCCAGATGGCCTTCCTGTGCCATGGCTCCTGAGCTATGCCAGGGAGACGATAATAACAATAGCTGGCATCTCCTAAGCACCTACTATGTGCCACTTTGTCTATAAGCACCCAAAGGAGTTTTGCAAAGATTAAGTGGCTTTATCTCTTATCCAGTAAGTGCTCAATAAATACTGCTAGCATTAATTGCTCTTTAATTTTTTTTTTTTTTTTGTGATGGAAATTGAACCCAGGGGTGCTTTATCATGGAGCTACATCCCCAGACCTTTGTATTTTTTTGTATTTTGAGACAGGTCTCCCTAAGTTGCTGAGGCTGGCCTTGTACTTGTGATTCTCTTCCTGTCTCAGCATTAATTGTTCTTGTTATGCACCCTGTAACCTTCTTTTTTTATTACTCAGGACAACTATTATTGTTGTTGTTGTTATTATTATTACTATTTTGTGGTGCAGGGGACAGAACCCAGGCCCTACGCATGCTAGGCAAGGACTCAGCCAAATCCCCAACCCCTTAGGACAACTATTCGTTTAAGATCCATCCCTCCATAACTGGGAGCGCAGGGGCAGAGAGCCGGTGTGCAGCCATGTTCTGCCATTCTGCAAGGCTCCCCCCAACCTTTCCTGGGCCATCTCCTTGGGCTCCCATAGTTCCCTCAGGCTTCTCTTGGTCTGGCCCTGACCCTCTGCCTGTTCCTTCTCCCTCCTGCCCTGTTCATCTGGGATGTCAGCGTGACCATGACAGTTTACCACCTCTCTCCCATCTGGGGTCCTGCGACTGCAAAGTCCAGGACTGTGTGGGTCACCACTGTGTCCACAGTATCATTCAGCAAGGTCAAGGCAACAGCATGGCAACTTAGAACAGCTTCAATGTCACCTTTCAGAGGGCCCATCCAGTCCCCGCCCTCTAGTTCAGCCCCCCCCTCCGTGACCCCACCACCCACCCGAGGTGCAGGCCACGACCTTGTCCACTCCATGAGCCTTCATGGCCGCCACAATGTTCCGGGCGCCCTCGGACATCACTGTAGTGGGACCTTAGAGGGGACAGAGAGTGGCTGTCACTGGTGGGCGGTGGCGGCGGCGGTGGTGGCAGAGGTGGCAGGGGTGGGGCTGGGGGCGGGAGTGGTGCCGGGGGTCGAGGTACAGGAAGGGGCCGTGGACAGAGGGGGGGCTCAGTACTGAGATCAGTGCCGGTGCCCAGCAGCACGATGACAGCATCCTGCCCGGCTACGGTCTTGTCCACGTCAGCTGCCTGACGAACATCACCAACTATCACATGGTTTGGCTGGGGCCCCTCCGATGGCAGCCTGGAGGTGTCCCGAACCAGCACAGTCACCTCATAACCTGCGGGCAAAGGGAGCAGAGAGGCAGGTCAGTGGGCTTGTGGGCTGGCACTCGGGCTCCAGGTGCTGGGCCCTGGAGGGTGCCATGAGCCCCCAAGTTCATCCCCCAGGTCCCCTGTTCTGGGGCAGTGATCTTCAAACATTTTTGCTGGTTCATCCACAGTTGATGTCCAGCTATTGTGGGCGATGCCTTCGTGCCCACATACAGTCTTCACCCAGAGGCTCCGCGCACCCCACACCCGCCACCCTCCAGCACAGAAGGGGCTGATGTCTGGCAGGGCACTGCTCTATGCTGCCCCCAAAGTGACCAGTGTTGAGATTGGACCCAGACCCTGGCCTCACTTGTGGAGGCCCAGCCTTCCTTTAGTGCTCATTAATGTACATGTATGAAGACCTGAATAGTGTGAACATACTTTTTACACAACCAGACATATGAAAATTTGTGCTCTATGTGTGTAATGTGATCTGTTATGCGTTCTGTCATATATAACAAATTAGAATTAAACAAAGAATTCAAATCAGTACTGTACGTGATCAAAACAAGACATTCTACAGGACTGTAACTGATTTTATCATTTGGAAAAAAATTCCAAACATTATTAAATCCTATTTTAAGGGCCGTGATAAACATATTATTGATCAATGTAAAAAAAAATTTGAATATCACCTCAGTATGTCCCCTCCCAAAAGAATTTTGGCTAACTCTGTTTCCCTAGACCCCAATAAATACACCCACACACACACACACCCACACACTTTTTAAAGTTCACAACTAACATATTTCTTCCTTTGTTTTAATAGTGGCAAAGGAACTTAATGTTTTGGTGTATTGTTATGGTTATATTTTAAAAATAAAATGATTAGTCATGATCTCTGAATGTTTGTGACCTCTCCAGTTCATGTTGGAGGTAAGGTTTTGGGGAGGCAATTGGGTTTAGATGAGGCCAGGAGGGCAGGGTCCCCATGATGGGCTTACTGTTCTTTTTTTTTTCCTTCGAACCCAGTGGCACTTAACCACTGGGTTCAAAGGGAAAAAAAAGGACACCCCCATCCCTTTTTCATATTTTATTTTGCAACAGAGTCTTGCTAAGTTGCTGAGGCTGGCTTTGAACTCAAAATCCTCTGCCTAGAGAGCCACTGGGAGTGTCATTATCTCTTGTAAAAGGATAGATTCATAATTTGATGGCATTATTGGGAGGTGGTAGAAACTGGGGGAGATGGGACCTAGTTGAAGGGAGTGGGTCTTGGGGCACACCCTTCAGGACTAGATCTTGTCCCAGGCCCCTTCCTTTGGATTAGACAATTGTTTCTTTTTCTTTTTGTATTTTATTTTTTTTAGTTGTAGTTGGACACAATACCTTTATTTTTTAAATTTTATGTTTAGGTGGTGCCGAGGATCGAACCCAGGGCCCCACACGTGCTAGGCTAGGCGAGCACTCTTCCGCTGAGTCCCAGCCCCAGCCCCTAGACAATTGTTCCTTTTTCCCCTCCCTCCTTCCTTCCCTCCCCTTCTCTCTTCTCTCTTTGAGACTAAACTGTCTTACTAAACTGTCCATGCTAGCTCCAAACTCCTGGGTTCAAGCGATCCACCAGCCCCAGTCTCTTGAGTAGCTGGGATTACAAGCACACACCACCACACCAAAAACACAACCAACAAATGCAAAACCAGATAAACTGCAAATCATCAAAATTAAAACCTTTTGTTCCTCAAAAGAAACCATCAAGGGCTGGGGCTGGGGCTCAGCAGTAGCGCACTTGCCTGGCATGTGTGAGGTACTGGGTTCGATTCTCAGCACCACATATAAATAAATAAAATAAAGATCTATCAACAACTAAGAAAAACATTTTAAAAAGTAAGAAAGTAAAAATACAACCTACAGAATGGGAGAAAAATTTTGTAAGCCTATCTGATAAGGGACTTGCATTTATATAAAAGGACTTTTATAACACAATGTTAAAAACATAAATGACCCAACTAAAAATATACACAACATCCTTTGAATAAGATGCACAAATGGCCAACAAGCCCATGAAAATAGGTTTAATCCCATTAGCCATCATGGAATGCAAATAATCAGAGCCACAATGAGATATCACTTCACAGCACTCACATATCGAGAATATAGAGAGAAACGCCCATGATCGTGCGAGGAAATGAACCTCAAGCGCTGCCGATGGCCACACAGAAGGGTGCAGCTGCTTTGGCAATCCGCCTGGCAGGTCTCCAAAAGATAAAACCCAGTGGTACCATATGACCCAGCATTCTCAGATGTATGCCCAGGAGACACGAAAACATGCTTTTCACACAAAAACTTGCACATGTATGTTTATAACAGCATTATTCCTAACATCTATCAACTGCTTAATGGATGAATGCAGTATCATTGGGCAACATAAATGAATGATATGCTTCAACATAGACGCACCTTGAGAAAATTTTTTTTTTTTTCCCAAGTGAGAGAAGACAGTCACAAAGAACCCCCATCATGGGGCTGGGGTTGTGGCTCAGTGGTAGAGCTCTTGCCTAGCATGTGTGAGGCACTGGGTTCGATTCTCAGCACTGAATATAAATAAATGAATAAAATAAAGGTTCATCAATATCCAAAATAAAACATTAAAAAAGAACCAATATTATATGATTCCATTAATATTAAATGTCTAGAACAGCAAATCCATAAAAACAGAAGCAGGGAAGTGCTTCCCTAGGCTGGGAGAGGGGTTGGGCTGGAAAATAGGGTTTATTTTGGGGATGACAAAAATGTTCTTTTTTTTTTTTTGGTACTGGGGATTGTAGTAGAGGCTGGGGTTGTGACTCAGTGGTAGAGCACGTGCCTAGCACGTGTGAGGCACTGGGATCAAGCCTCAGCATCACATAAAAATAAAAGTTTGTGTCCATCTATAGCTAAAAATTTTAAAATATATATTTTTAGTACTACATGGACACAATACCTTTATTTTATTTTATTTATTTATTTTTATGTGGTGCTGAGTATGGAACACAGTGGCCTCACATGTGCTAGGCAAGCACTCTGCCACTGAGCCACAATCCCTGTCCCCTTTTTATTTTTTATTTTGAGACAGGGTCTTGCTAAGTTGCTTAGGGCCTTGTTAAGTTACTGAAGCTGGCTTTGAAATTTCGATCCTCCTGCCTCAGCCTCCTGAGACACTGGGATTATAGGAGTGCACCATCATGCCCAGTGTCAAAATGTTCTAAACTGATTATGAGAATACTTGAGCAACTCTGAATATGCTGAGAACCACGGAATGGTATATTTTAAAGGGGTGGATTATATAGTGTGTGAATTATGGCTCTATAGTGCTGTTAAACATGTAAAAGTGCCAGGTGCAGTGGCACACACCTGTAATCCCAGCCATTTGGAAGGCTGAGGCAGGAGGATCACAAGTTCAAAGCCAGCCTGCAATTTAGCAAGGCCTTAAACAACTTAGTGAGGGCTGGGGATACAGCTCAGTTGGTAGAGTGCTTGCCGCACATGCACAAGGCCCTGGGTTCAATCCCCAGCATCACACACACACACACACGAAATGCTTAGTAAGATCCTGTCTCAAAACAAAAATAAAGGCTGGGAATGCAGCTCAGTGGTTAAGCACCCCTGAGTTCAATTTCTGACCTCAAAACTAAAACAAACAAACAAAAAAACCTAGAAAAGCAAAACCAAGACAAAATTAACCAAAAGTTTAGCACAGAACACTGAAATAAGCATCATCTGTTTGTTTGCTGTCATGCCTTTTGATCATCCCACAGTTTTACCCCTTGGCCTGGACCAGCCCTGAGTCTTGTTCCTGGCCCTTTCCAGGGTCTTCTTCAGGTTCCCGGGCCCTGGCCTGCTCCCCCCAACCATATTCCACATGGCAGTCACAACTTTCCAGCCATCTCCAAGAGCCTCTGCTCAGAGGCCTCCCGGGACCCGACCTGAAGTCCACAACAGACTTGTGATGGCCTCAGGGCTCTCAGGATCTGACCTTTCCTCCTTTCCAGAGAACCACTGGATTTCTTTCAGTTCCTCAAACACAACCTGCTGCTCCCCCACCCCCACCCCATCTCCTGGCTTTGCACACATCATCTCTCTGCTGGGACACCCTTCACCCCCTTTCCCCAGGTCCCCCAGCCACTTGTGCTTCCTCTGTCATGGCTCTCCCTCTGCTGACCTGCAGTAAACCAAGGGCCCTGTGAGTTCACTGCCACGGCCCTGACCTTTTACAAACAGGAAAACTCAGGCTCAAAACCAGGGACCCAGGTTCAAACTCTGGTCCTACAGCTTTCTGGCTGAGGAACCTGCATCCCCTTCCTCCATCAGACCCCAACTTCTTGGTCTCTGAAATGAGAGCACCACACCCAGCAAACCCGTCCTCCATGACCCCCTTTAAACAAAGGAATGACACACAGGAGAGCAGCAGGGGTTTGCCGGGAGCCAATGTGGGCATTGCCTAACTGCCTGGGTCAATCCCCAGCACCACACAAAATAAGGAAATACAGAAACCTTGTAATGTTGCCAAAAGCTCAGTCTTTGTCTCTAATGTCAATCCAACAACAAGGATATGGTTTTGAGAAGAAAAAAGACGGTTTATGGCTTTGCTAGCAAAGGAGAAACACAGGGGACTCCTGTCCCAAAGGTTGTGATTCTGCCCATCAGCAGGAACAGGGTGTTTTTTTTTTTTTTAAAGAGGTAATTCAGAGAAAATGAGATTAGAGAGGAAAGAGGAGGTCAGGGAGGAGAAGATCAGGGAGGAGAAGATCAGAGAGAAAAAGGCTGAGAAAAAAAAAATATGTAAGTTTCAAAGCCACAAGGGATATAGTCAAAGCATCAAGTGAACCCCCGTTACAGTAAGTTGTGCGTATATCTTTTTCTTTCTTTTTTTTAAAGTACTTATTGATGGGCACTCTACCTCTAAGATAACACCCCTATCCCCTTTTTATTTTGAGACAGAGTCTTGCTAAGTTACAGAGTCTGGCCTTAAACTTGCGATCCTCCTGCCTCAGCCTCCTGGGTTGCTGGGATTACAGGCACATGTCACCATTGCAGATGGGCATATATCTTTTATATTTTTAATTTTTTTTTTTATATTGGGGAATGAACCTAAGGGTGTTCTGAGCCACATCCCCAGCTCTTCTTACTTTTTAAGACAGGGTCTGACAGGGTCTCACTAAATTATGTAGGGCCTGTCTGAGTTGCAAAGTCTAGCCTTGAACTTGTGATAACTTGTGATCCTCTTGCCTCAGCCTCCCGAGTCACTGGGATTACAGATATGTACCAACATGCCCAGCTGCATAGATCTTTTTGAGAAACATGTTGTTATAGTCTGAATGTTTGTGTTTTCCTCCAAAATGCACCTGATCACCAAGGTGATGATATTAGAAGGGGACCTTGGGAGGTGGGTTATGAGGGTATTGCTCTCATGAATTAGAATCGTGCCCATATCAGAGACCTCAGAGAGCTAGCAAGCCCCTTGCACCATGTGAAGAGCCATCTATGAGACGGCTGGCCCTTACCAGGCACCAGCAGGGCCTTGATATTGAATTTCCAGCCTCCAGAACTGTGCAAAATGTACTTCTGTTGTTTATGATCACATAGTTAAGGTATTTGTTAGAGAAACCCAAACAGACCCAGACACGTCCTCCCAATCATGAGAACTTTGAACACAGGCACAGCATAAGGGTCCCTGTGGATTTTGACATTATTAGTGATGAGTGGCAATACTCATAAAGATCCCCCAAAATGCCAAGGGCTGTGCTACATTTCTTCTATGAATAAATAGATAAATGGGGTATTTTTTTAAAAAAGAATTTTTAAGTCCCCAGGACCATACAATTTTTAAAAAACTTAATAACTTAATTCACATGTATCTTTTCTTTTTGTGGTACTTGGAAATTGAACCCAGGAGTGCTCTATCACTAAGTCACAACCCAGTGTTTAATTTTATTTTGAGACAGAATCTCACTACAGAATCTCAAAACATGACTTGTGATCCTCCTGTCTCAGCCTCATAACTCACATTTAAATTTAAAGGGCCAGATGTGGCCAGTAGATACCATATCAAATAGAATGGATCCACACATTTTACCCTTTATACAGAACAAGACCCAGGCTTGGTGGCGCATGCCTGTAATCCCAGCAGCTTGGGAGGCTGAGGCAGGAGGATGGTGAGTTCAAAGCCAGCCTCAGCAACTCAGTGAGGCCCTAAGCAACTCAGTGAGACCCTTTCTCCAAATACAAAATGAGGCTGGAGATGTGATTGAGTGGTGGAGTGTCCCTGAGTTCAATCCTCGGTACCCCCTACTCCCCCCAAAAAACCCAAGAGTGTTCATTAGTTATTTCCAAGCCTTTAAAAAAAAAAAAAAAAAAAAATATATATATATATATATATATATATATATAAATCCCTTCCCTTATTTACATTTTTCTGTTAATTTTATTTTGAAATAAATGACCTATAAAGAAGTTTCAAGACCCAGATTCTTCATTTTGCTTTTGCCTTATCGCTCTCTTTAAACATAACATGCATAATTATATACATTTGCATGTAAATATATTTATACATGTATATATAGAAATACACATTTTCCCCCTGATTATGAGAATAAGTTCCAGAGGTCAAGCCCCTTTAAAGCTTTTTGATCTCAATCTTTAGTATAAAATGGATTTCACTGCCTAACCCAGGGCACACATATATAATTAAAACAAAACTTTCACAAAGCTAACAATATGTGATACATTTTGATACTGTTGGAACTTAATATATTTCAAAACCTATATGACCTACAGTTTGACAAGTACCAGATTACAATTCTACAAAGTAGCTATTACCATGCTTATTCTGAGGATGGGAAACTGAAACACCATTTTTTAGGTAACTGGGCCAAGGCCACACAGCTAGTAGGTAGAGAAGGTAAAATTTTATACATAAGCAAGTCTGACCCAGAGCCTAAAGAATTCAGAGCTAGGCTATAAGGGAAACTGAATCAGCCAAAGGATATTTATTGATCACCAACTGCTCAATGGCTACTGTTCAAAGCACTTCCCATATATTATCTACTTTAATCATTGTAAGTGACCCAAGGCAAGTACAACTAATTTCATCCCCACTTTATAGATATCTAGGCACACAGTTCTAGATGACAAAGCATGCGGTCACACAGGTGTTTAGTGTCAGAGTTGGCCTCCTGAAAGTAGGCAGGCTGACGCTAGTTTGTGCTTGTCAGGAATCTTGACCTTGCTTGAATTACACTGAGATAAATAAAATCTCAATTCAATTTTAGGTCAGGGTCTCCCTAGACTCCAACTCTCATTCCCCTGGGTGCAGTTCCAGTCGTGACCAGCAGGGTGAGCAAGCGGGCCCCAGTGGTATTGGGGATTAAAGGTGAAGGAAACATGGAAATCCAGATATTCGGGATGACTCAGCACTTCTCAACTTCTCCCTCTTCCTTCCCCAGCCTACCCTAGAAATGCTGATCAGCAAATGGGTTTTCACTGGTCTCCCTCCCCACAAGTCAAGATCCTCACAAGGTGGAGGGGGCGGGGAGAGGGGGAAGCCTGCCTAATGAGGAACTGTTTCAGAAAAGTCCCAAAGGAGGGCTGGGCTGGGATTCTGGTGGCCTCCACCCTTTTGGGTCGTGCAGATAGTCAATATCTTCAGAGTCACCAATGTTTGCAGGGGTGGGGCTCTATATCTTGAAGTCCCAGGCCCAGCCGGAAGAGGGTAAACTCTGGACTGGAGAGGCAGAAGATGCGAGGATCCTGCACCCTCTTCTGGAGCAACTCTGAATTTTTAGCCTTTGGTGACTTACCTAGGACTAGTGCTCACAAGTCTTGACTCACTCATGTCTCTGTGACCTCTTCCTGTTAGGTGCTCACAGCAACCTGCCTCCTAAACTTTCCTATTTCCAGTTCTGGTGTCCAAGCCCAAAGCCCATGGATATTTTTGGTGCTTACGCCTATGAACTAGGTTCAAATCCCAGCACTGCCACTCACCAGCTGTGCTATGGGGGCAGAATTTCTGGGCCTCAGTTTTCTCATCTGTCAAGGGAGGCGGGGAATACTAGTTCCCCCTCCAAAATGAGGGCTGCCTGGATTTAACTCATGTAGTGAGAAGGCACTGCTAGGCAGCAAGCCTTTGCTAACTTAGTAAACCCTCTCTGGGTGTGCTAATGACAATCACAACCACAACCACAATCACATTTCATAAGAGCTCTGGATTTACTCTGTCACTGGAGTCCCCTAGGCTCCCATAGCCCATTTCTATGCCTTGGACTCACATAAAACTGAATATCACAGTTTCACCCATTTCTGCCCCGGCACCCCCAAACTTGTTTCGCTCCCTGAAGCTTCACACACTTGGTTGGGACACTGATGACCCCAACCAGCCTGTGCCCGGCTCCAGCCCCACGATGTCTCTTCCTAGTGCTCTCCGGGTGTACCCTGTGACTCCCCCTCCCGCCCCACTCATGCCTGCTTGCACCGCCTGCGCCATGGTGGTGAGCCCGGTCCTGCCAGTGGCGCCGAAGATCGCGATCTTCTTGACAGCCATGCTTCGGGGGTCCTGGATGTGCAAGGCCTGAGACACTGGACGCGCGGGAACCCTATGACTGCTGGGCTGCACTCTCCGTCCTTCCCAGTCGGAGGGACGGGGCGGGGCCAGCTCGGAGGGGCCCGCCTCTGCCCCCCGCACCCGGCTTGAGTCAATTGGGTGGGCGGGTGGAAGCAACAGACCACGCCTTCGGCTGGGAGGAAAGCTAGAGTCAACTTGCAGTTTTGTTTTTTTTTACCGCCTAGCACCACCCTCTCAGACCGCCCTTTATACTTGGAGGAACGCCTCCCGCTTGGAAGGGAGCAAGTGGGCGGGGTCAAGAGAGCTGGGCGCTCGGCGCCCCGCCTCCGCGCTCAAGCCGCGGGGGGCAGGGGCGGAGCGATGAGCCACGCCCACCAGGCTTTCCTGGCTCACGCCCCTTCTCCCAGGACTCGCCTGCAGTGGTGGTACTTGCACTACTGCTCAGGGTCTCCTACAACAAAGGGAGAAGTGAGGGAGGACACTGTGGGTGTGTGAGTGTGACACTGGGTAATGAGTGCCTATGCACCCGCGTGACCTTAAGTAACCACAAGGGAGAGCATGATTGTGGATGACAGCCTGTGTCATTCTTGTGTTACAATGTGACTGTGAATCCACGTGTGGTCAACATTGATGCTCCCTGTAACCTGTGGTGACACTATGGATGGCAGTGTGTCAGCCTGTGTGATATGGTGTGAGATTTGTGTAAGTTATAATAGAATGTGAGAATATTAGATTGTGACGGGTGTGTGACACCACATGTGTCAAGTAAGGGTGTGTGTCTTACCATTTGAGTACATGGCTGTGGGTGTTACTGTTGCTGGGATGCTATTCGTGACTTGTAACTGTGTGATGTGAGTGTGTAGCAGTGCAGGATGTGTCACCCCATGGGACTGAATGGTGTGACAAGTTTGCGTGTGTAAAATGGCACCACACTGTGTGATTGTGAAGCCATGCATAATGTGTGAGTGTATAACAATTTGTGATCCCCGGGGGGAAGTGCGACCGTGTGTGACATGCATGGTTGTGTGTACCACACCACATTGGTGGTGATGGAATCGTGCATGTGTGTCATAGTGTGCAACGCTGTGTGTGACTTCGTGTGACAGTTCGAAGGTTTGACCCTGTGTGACTCCATCTGAGGGAGTGACACTGTGTGTGGATGTGGAGAGTGTGTTTGTGACGTTGCAAGTGACCCCGTGTGTGTGGCAGTGTGGGAGTGTGGACTGTGTGTGACGCTACCTCAGCCTCTCTGAGCGCAGCGGTGTATAAACGCGAGGCCCGGCGTGTGCCAGTGCGGGGACCCGTGCCGCAGGCGGCCGGGGCGCCGGGGCCCGCGGCGGGAGGGGTCCCGGGGGCGCGCGGAGCTCGGCGGCGGCGCGAGCGGGGGGAGGCGCGGCGGCGGCGGCGCATGCGGATCTGGCGGAGCGGCCGGCCGGCGGGGCAGAGCAGAGCCGGGCCGGGCCGGGCCGCGGACGCCCACAGGGAAGGCTGTCGGGTGCGGCGAGCAGCGGGGACAGCAGCACCGGCGGCCGCGGGCTCAGGTGAGCGGCGTTGCGGCCCAGGCCCCTGCCCCAGAACCTCCTCACCTGCTTGAGCATCCTCCCCAGCGCCCTGGGCACGGCCTGAGCTCCCGGGGTCTCCCTTGATGGGTGCAGGCAGGAGATCGAAGGCAGAACGAGCCCCTAATCCCCAGCCTAGCCCAGCCTCCGCGCCATGCGTGGGTCTTCCCTGGGGCCTGGTCCTTCCCAGGAGCCCCTCCTCGGGCACGGTGACAGGACCGCGGCGACAGAGAGGCGCGGAAGGGTTAAAGCATCGGATCCCACCCGAAGCCCTGCGCCGGGCCGGCCTTTGCTGAGGCCGGCAGGACAGCCCTTCCCACCTCCCCCCTCGCCTTCTCTCCTTTCTCCATTCAACCACCACGTCAAGGCCAGAGCTGCTCTCCCGGCCTGATGGAAAGCTCACCTAGTGCCAAGTGCCTGCCCATCCCCAAGTACCACCGAGGAAACAGTTGTGACCACCGATCAACAGGGAAGGAAACTGAGGCACAGAGAGGCTAGGTTAAAGTACAGCGAGAATAAAGCAGGATTGAACCTATTTTCTGTCCGACTCCAGAACAGGCACTTAGACTTGCTAAGATGTGATCAGAGGCTGGAGAGAAATAGTGGGCTGGGGGTGTAGCTCAGTGGTAGGCCATTTTTCTAGTATGTGTGAGGCCCTGGGTTCCATTCCCAGCATCACAGGAGGGGAAAGGAACAGCAAGAAACATGTACTGAGGGTTTGCTGTGTACCAGGTACCATGTTCCCTCTATCATTAACTCATCTTCAAACACTCCTAGGATTTTCACGGATGAACAAACTGAAGTCCAGAGAGGGGAAGTGACTTGGCCAAGGTCACACAGGTGGTGGGTAGCCATGTGCCCCACTTACAGCTTTCCATGGAAGAAGAGAAGAATAACAATGGATTTTGGTGTGCCCACCAAAAGGGATTATCTCTACCACACTGACCACAACCCAGGCCCTGGCTGCCTTCCTGAGATGTAGTGGGTTAGAAGACCAGCACAGAGACACACTCTTGTCATTCCAGCAACTCAGAAATCTGAGGCAGGAGGATTGCTAGTTTGAGACAGTCTGGGCCACTTGTCAAGACTTTGCCTCAAGTTTTTAAAAAGGGCTGGAAATGTAGCCCCGTGGTAAAACACCCCTGGATTCAATCCCCAGTACTGAAACAAACCAAACCCAAACCAAACCAGACCTAGGGGTTAGCAACTGTCCAGGTCTTTTGAGAAGGGTGCCATTGGTCTAATCCCCTCCTTTCTTAGTCTTAGAACCAGGTCAGAGGTCCAGGAGGGTAGAGATGTACCTGATATCACCCACCTCTTTAGATTTCATATTTTCAACCTGGCATGTTTTAAAGCACAACTCTCAATTCAGATAATATGTCAGTGGGCTGTGGCCACAATAATGCTGCTTAACAAATCAGCACAGATCTCAGCATCTTAAAGCACATGTATTTAGCCCTGGAGTCTGAGTTCAGGGGCTACCCAGCTGAGCAGTTCCGCTAGACTCTCTGCTGGTGCACTTACAGTAGGGTAGCTGACCTTGGCTGGCATGTCTGTGGTCTTAGACTTGGTCTAGCCTAAACATGTCTTTCTCATGGCCATGGTCAAACACAAGCAGAAGCATATAAGATATCTTGAATGAGGCTCAGAACTTCCACACATACCAGCACTTCCACCCAGTTCTGTTGGCCAAAGCAAGTCACATGGTCAATCCCAGAATCAAGGGGTGGGGTATGCCCCCAAAGCACACATACCTTTTCTGCCTTAACCAAGGACACTGAAAGGTTAAATAGCAAAGGGTGTGGCTTCAAGGGTGAAGAAGTAGGGCTACTAATACAAGCATTCTATCACATGCCTATGTTTGAAAACTAGTTACTTACTAGCTGTGTTACTTGGGCAAACAAATTAATCCCTTTGTACGTCAGTTTCCTTTTCTGCAAAATGGGCCTAGTAATAACTGCTCACTTGTGAAAATTACATAAAAGAATGCATATAAAGTATTGAGCACAAGGCAAATGCCCAATAAATGTTCATTATAGTTCTTGTTACTGCATTATAGAGTTCTGTTACTAATGATGTTATTGTTCCAATAATAATACCAGTGACAATTGCTGAGCCTCTACCCTGTGCCAGGCATTAAGTCATCAAGTACTTTATTGCAGTCCCGTAAGTGGTCGGGGTAAACATTATCATCATCCCCTTGCAAGACAGAGAAACTGAGGGTGAGAGAGGACCTAGGACCCACAGCTAGTCACTGTTAGAAGGGAATCCTCTGAATAAAAGGCACAAGATGGCTTGTGCCTTTAATCCCCGTGACTTGAGAGGCTGAGAAAGGAGGATGGCAAGTTTGAGGCCAGTCTCAGCAACTTATGGAGAGCCTGTCTCAAAAAAAAAAAAGGCTAAGGATATAGTTCAGTGGTAAAGTGCTCCTGTGTTCAATAACAAGTAACATGCAAAAAAAAAAAAAGGGGGGGGGCTCTCTGAGCTGGCGCCTGTTTCCAGTCCTAACCTGCCTCTCCCTATCCCCAGGCCTCATCTTCCCCAATGGCACAGGTTCCGGGGGAGGTGGACAACATGGAGGGCCTGCCCGGCCCCAACAACAACAACCTTGCAGCTCGCTGGGAGAGTCCAGACAGGGGCTGGGAGCGGGAACCTCCAGCTGCTTCCACGGCAGCTGCTTCTCTCTTTGAGTGCTCACGGATCAAGGCCTTGGCAGGTACCTGGGGACCACGGGAGAGCTGGGTGGGCCGAGGGGAGTGGGAGCGGGAGGGGGCTGCTGGGTGGCATCTGTGCACCTTGGTGCCTGAGAGCCTTGATGGCTAGAAGAGTGGAAAGGAGTCGTACTTAGCGCCTGAATCTCCAGGCCAGTTGTGGCCAAGGGAACCTTCCACAGTGCAGGCATTGTTCTGTATCTGTGGTATCCATAGAGAAACCACTAGTGCATATGGCTTGAGCGCTTGAAATGTGGTCAGTGCCACTTGGGGGACTGTTTTGCATTTTATTTAGTTTTAATTAATTTAGATTTAAATAGCCACTGTGGCTCATGGCTTCTGCGTGTGACAGCACAGCCTTAGAACTTTTGAAATGTACAATCCCAGACACATGAGACTTTGAAAGCGATGTCTTGGGATCTCCAAATGCAGAACCGTTGGGATTTTAAGACGTTGAAATGTCACACTTAGAGATTCTTCAGAGTTGAGACCTTTAGAGATGGAGACCCTTGTCGCAGATTTTAGACATTTGGCCACTAGGATCTTAGAGCCTTAGAAACCTAAACTCTAGCAGGCACAGTGGTGCACACCTGTAATTCCAGTGACTCAGGAGGCTGAGGCAGGAGGATTGCAAGTTTGAGGCCAGTCTCAGTAACTTAGTGGAGACTCTATGTCTCAAAATAAAAATAAAAGGGCTGGAGTTGTAGCTCAGTGACAGAGCTACATTTTCTTGTCATTATAGTTTTTAGACTAAATTGTCGAGGGAATAATTGCAAGAAAAGAGGTCTTGTACATGTTTGTATGGATATAGTTTTTTTTCCCC